CCCCAAAACCCCAAAACCCCAAAACCCCAAAACCCCAAAACCCCAAAACCCCATATTAATTAAAAATGGTTGAAAGATAGTGATTCTGTAACCTGAAAATTTAAAAAGTATTTTAAAACCAAGTGAATAATCTGAGAAAAGAAAAATCTTAAAAATTGTTATAAGCAAAAAAATTCATTCAAAACAATTCCTCCATAATCAAACTTCCCTCCCTCAAAAACCCCCTCTCCAAAAATCTACCAAATCCAAAATCCTTCTCAAAACTCATTCCATACCTCAAATTCCCTCTAACTCCTTTCCTAACCTCCAAAACCTCCCTCTCAATTCTCAAAATCACCCTATTTCCAAAAATTCAACTTTGTTCTTCAAACCCCCTCTATTCCAGCCTCAAAAGAATCCTTATTCCCATATAGCTAAATACAACAAAGTCTTGTGCCAAATATCTTTACATACCAAAAGCCTTCTCGGGCTCACTCAGTGAATACCTTGGCTTCTCTTCCTCAGGCTCTGGAGCTGGTGTTGGCTCTGGTGGTGGGGGTGGCGGAGGAGTTGGCTCTGGTTCAGGTTCAGGCTCTGGTTCGGGCTCAGGCGCTGGTTCTGGTTCTGGCTCTGGAGGAGGAGGCGTTGGCTCAGGTGGTGGTGGAGCTGGAGTCTCTTCAGGTGGTGGAGGAGGCTTGATCACTTTTACAGGAGCACCAGGAGCTACTCTCAGCTTTCCCCATGGATCTTCATTTTCAAATCTAGGTATCTCGTCTTCGTTAATTCTAATATCACATTGATCTCTTGTCTTCATACCATATTGTTGTTCTAATAATACAAGCTCTTTGTCGATTCTCTTCAAGAACTCAATAACCGAAGTTCCTCTAGTAGACCACAGAATCTGTCCATCGAGGCCCTTCATAATCATGATCATGGGTCCATCCCTAAGGTTATCGATATCGATTCTCCAAATCTTGGCTGCTTCTCTAAAGCTTCTGGCATTTGGATTGTACCCTGAGACATCTGCTTCGGTATAAATTACTTCATTGCCTATATTTTTGTGTTAATTTATACCGTTATGATTACAAAGATGTTAATTTATTCCAATTCCAGATATCCCGAATAAAAGTTTCATCCAAGCTAAGAAGCTCGAGAGGATGCAGAGGTAGCTTACAGAAAGAGCCACTAGACACTTTTAAGTGACATTTGTTCAACATATCCTGGAGACTTCCGATTATGATCAGGTTGCGCTTGTTCTCCTCAGGATCGTATCTCAGATGATCGAACCAAGCGGTCACAACAATGTCACTTTTATGCTCTTCAAACAAGTTTTTGAGATCTACTCCAGTTTCTATACAGCTGAGTTAGTTTTCATGTAATTTTGTAGAGGAGATGTGCACTTTATTAGGTAATGAAATTATGGGTCAGAGGTCCTCATTTTGGCTTATATAGCTAACTTTAAAAAAAGATTGTGCCACATTCAGAATATGAAAATCAACTAGGAATTGCTAATTAACTCGCCATATCTTCAGTGCTAATTCAACACATCACCCACGAGCAGATTACTCATGATTAGATACACTAGGATGATGCATGAGCACCAAATATGTACTGAAGAAGGTTTTATCAGCAAGTCAACACATAAATATCTTTAGGTCCACCAACCTAGCTTACCTGGTTTTAGTTCTCTGACCTCTGGTCTTGAGTTTCAACCTTTACTTCCTAAACTTCTCTGCACTCTAGTGAAAGCAGTGGCTTTAGCCATTGCTGAAGCCAGGAGCATAGTGACGCAAAGAAGAGTTAAGAAACTCTTCTTTGGCCTCAATCCTCTTCTTAGAAGATTCATGATGAATTTTAAATTATATAAGAATAAAAAAAGTCAATTGCTCTTGGATAGCTGGGGTTTTGGGGTTTTGGGGTTTTGGGG